AAAATTTTAGTTAATTGTATTTGAATTTTTAGAATTTTATTCATTATAATTAAATATTAATTAATTATATGTAAAAGACAAAAAAATTATATTAATTGGTGGGGAATGATGATCCCTGCGGGGATCCTCGTCCTCACGAATGACGGAGAGGGACTCTCCGGCCTTGCGGGCCCTGTTGACATCCCTACCATCAACGTTAAATTCATATGAGAAAGCAAAAGAAAGAAAATGTTACAAATTGATATACTACTTCCAGCAGATCATTTACTACAAACAGAAGCAATACACGACATAATTATAAAATGATTCAGAAGTGCTTTGCTTCCTCAAGAATGTTGTGTACCTTAGGACCAAGCACAAGAAATTTGAGCAGTCAATTGAGTCTTGCAAAATGCTGGGATAACAACTTTTCAAAGTCTCAAGATACCAACTTCTTCTATCAGTTGACATCAGCCTTTAGCTTCTAATCACAATCCATCCCTGTCTTGTATGGTCTTGTTCTTGGGGATTCTTCAGAAAAAGAAATGCTTATCTTAGAAAATTAGTAATGCGTATGGGCTATGTTTTGTCTTGATAATACTCAGCACTTCAACTATCATATATAATCTCCCGTGCAAGATTTATACACAATATAACATTTTTTAGACACCATAAGAAAGAGAAGGACATGCTTCAGAAACAACATATATAAAATAGATTCCAGTGCGGCAGTGTCTCCATGTATCATCACCTTTTGTTCTTCCAGTTTAGATGAAAATCCCATTTGCCTATGCTTCCTGGTCCCCTCTATCTCACAAACTTCTTCAAATTGAAAATTGGAAAAAAAAAAAAAAGAAAGTCTGGACCTTTCCACTCTCCGGTTCTTTTATTTTCATCCAAAAGAGACTTAAGCTTCCTCATATCATTGCAATGCAGCAGGAAAAGTGTTTTATATCATTCTATTTAGAATGTTATACAATGTGTCACGCATATTCTTGAAAGAAAATGGTGTTTCAGTTAACATGAAATCAGTATGACCTTTTATTATACTCAAATCTTGTAGAAAGAAACTTTCAAATGCCAAATGTGACTTAAGTTCTTTACATAAATTAAAGTGAATGAATACAGGCAACCGTAATACCTACCGCAAAGCACAGAATCTTCATTAAGAAAGAGTTTGATTCAGAAATCCATGTCCTGCTGCTGTTGCTAAAGCGCCTGGAAAAAAGAAAGAATATAGATAAAAAATGTAAAAGGCAAGTTGGAAGAAGATGGAAATAATAAAATCCGAAATTAATTCTGAGAAGAACATGGTAGTACCCATTTTCCATCTATCTCAACGCCGAGGATGTTCCATTTGAGGTAAGAATCTGTAAGGATAGGTCCGAGGTGCCCACCTCGGACGTACTAAATAATTCTTCAACAATCAAAGTGAAAAGTAAACCCAGCTGCATAAAAGTTACCGTGAACAGGCACGCACCTGATTTCTTATGACAGGCTGTACAATAGTTATGGTGCGTACGCCCAAACCTGAATATGTCTCAAATTCCCGGTCCCGAGTATCTCGCTTGGCAAGCCAACACGGGTTCTCCATTGGAACATATAAATACCCCTCAAGGGCCACCTCAGAAAGGTAATTGAAACCAACCTTAAGCTTTTTTTATCTCCGCTTTAAAGGTTGCCCCGATTATTGCTGATTTAAGCATCGGAGTGTCTACCCCGAGTTCAACCTCGGGGCTTTGCAGGTCATCTCGGAGTGCAAGCGCGGACTGAAGAAGAACTTCTGGTTTGGTGCAATTACATTGGCGCCGTCTGTGGAAATCGAATAAAAAGCTTTATTTCTATTTTGATCCGGTTGATTAGAGGGAAGAGAAGATGAGTGAAAAGCCCATGGCCTATTCTTTTGAGTTGCAGAAATAGATCTGATGAATTTGCCTATTCTTTTGAGTTGCAGAAGTAGATCTGATGAATTTGCCTATTCCTTTGAGTTGCAAAAGTAGATCTGATGAATTTGCCTATTCCTTTGAGTTGCAGAAGTAGATCTGATGAATTTGCCTATTCTTTTGAGTTGCAGAAGTAGATCTGATGA